CACGGTGGCGTGACCGCCGCGCGAGAGGGGAGGCTGCACAGGCCTGGGCGCCGGAGCCAGCCAGACCTGGACTCCCATCCCAGACCCACCAAACTTGCTGCTCTGTGCCTCAGTTTGCCCATCTGTAAAATGGAGATGATCATGTTAGCTACCTGATAGGAGTGTTGAGAAGATTCACTGACCATTGGGAAGGGGCCTAACCATTAGGAAGGAGGTCCCTCGGGTTAAAAAGTCTCATAAATGGAGTGTCCTACTTTTGCAGAGATCTTTCTAGGAGCCCTTTAGTACACAGCCAGCCACTCAGCAAGGGCTTAATAAATATTATTAGGCCGGTGAGGTGGCTCACACCTGTAATCTCAGCACTTAGGGAGGCCGAGGCAGGAGGACTGCTTGAGCTCAGGAGTTCCAGACCAGCCTGGGCAACGTAGCAAGACCCTGTCTCTACAAGAAAAATTTTTAAGTGGAAAAAAATTAGGCCAGGCGCAGTGGCTCATGCCTGTAACTGCAGCACTTTGGGAGGGCAAGGTGGGCGGATTATTTGAGCCAAGGAGTTGGAGACCAGCTTTGGCAATATGACAAGGCCCCATGTCTGCAAAAAACAAAATAAAAAGAAACCACCTGGGGCCGAGAAATGGCTCACACCTGTAATCCCAGCACTTAGGGAGGCTGAGGCGGGTGGATCACCTGAGGTCAGGAGTTCAAGACCAGCCTGGCCAACATGGTGAAACCCCGTCTCTATTAAAAATACAAAAACTATCCGAGCATGGTGGTGCACATATATAATCCCAGCTACTCGGGAGGCTGAAGTAGGAGAATAACTTGAATCTGGGAGGTGGAGGTTGCTGTGAACCGAGATTGCGCCACTGCACTGCAGCCTGGGTGACAGAGCGAAACTCCGTATGAAAAAGAAAAAGAAAAGCCAGGCATAGTGGCATGTGCCTATAATCCCTGCTACTCAGGAGGCTTGAGCCCCGGAGTTTGAGGCTGCAGTGAGCTATGATTGTGACACTGCATTCCAGCCTGGGGGACTGAGAGAGAGCCTGTCTATTAAAAACAAAGAAACAAGAACCAGGTATTATTATTCCCGGTAGGCATGTGACATTATTTGTGTGTTGCCTTCCCCGCTAGAACGTCAGTTCCACAAGGGCAGGAATTTGTGTCTGTTGTCACCATGATGTCCCTGGCACCCAGTATGTTCTTGGTGTCTCCATTGATGATGCAGGGATGTGTGGATGTGGGGCAGTGGACTGTGAGCATGTCATGAGCATGTGACCCAGCCCCTAGTGACCGCACCACATGTCACAGGTTGCTTATAAAACCATTTTAAATTAAAAAAGCATCAGTGCATACAGATGGGGACACAGGGGCAAAGGGCCCAGCACCGAGTACAATGTGGTCACCCCATGGCCCAGTGGGCACCAGGGGAGACTCCCCTCGCAGCACAGATAGCTGAGGGCCGGGTGCTGGTTCTTCTAGGTGCAGCTTTGGTCCTTGTGGGCTCAGAGGTCTGCCTTTCGAAAACTTGCTCTGTTCAAGGAGTTCCTGGGAAAAGAATGAGGGTGGGTCAGCATGGCCGTGGGGCCCCCAACTCCATAGACCTCCCAGCCCACATCCTCATCCTCTTCCTCTTCATCTTCCTTCGAGGATCCTTCTGGGGTCTCTCCTATCCCTGATCCTGCTGTGGGATTCTCAGATTCTCTCTTGTAGTCCACCACGGAAGGTATGAATCATCCCCATTTTACAGATGTAGAAACTGAGGCTCAGAAAGATGAATTCATGTATCTGGGAAATGACGGCTCGGAGCCTGCCCTGCCTTTGTACATCTGGATGACTTATTCAGATGCTTATGCAAAGTTGAAGCAGCTCATGCTATAATCCCAGCACTTTAGGAAGGCAAAGCGGGTGGATCACCTGAGGTCAGGAGGTCAAGACCAGCCTGGTCAACATGGTGAAACCCTGTCTCTACTAAAAATACAAAAAAATAGCCAGGTGTGGTGGTGGATGCCTGTAATCCCAGCTACTCAGGAGGCTGAAGCAGGAGAATCGCTTGAATCTGGGAGGTGGGGGTTGCAGTGAGCTGAGATTGTACCACTGCACTCCAGCCTGGACGACAGAGGGAGACTCTCTCAATAAAAAAAAACCAGAAACACAACAAAGTCGAACAAAGTCCAAGCTACCAGGAAACATGTTGCTGTGTACGTGTACAACAGCCCCCATCCTGTATCTGTCCTGGTCTGCCTCTGCATCCCCTCTCTAGTCTCTAGGATGGGGGCACCAGGTCAGGCACCTGAGGCCAGGTGGGGTGGGTGCCAGCAGCTGGGGCAGGCGCTGGGTAAGCAGGGGCTGCAGAGCCTCCCGCAGGCGGCAGTAGTTGCGCTCTAGCTCGCGGTGGTACTCCTTCTGGTCCGGCCCAATCAGGGCCTTATTTTTCCGCAGCGCATCTTCACATCTGAGGGCCAGAGGGTGGGAGATGCTAAGAGACTCGCACACGGGACTGAAAGCAAGACTAGGGGTGGGGGCATCCGTAAGGCGGGGCCAGGCCTGCTGAAAGACCCACAATAGGAGGTCAGGTTGGGAGAGTGGACTTAATGGGAATCGGGCAGATGGGGGAGCCATGCGGAGATCAGGTGGGCAGAGAGCAGGTCTATGCAGGTTAGGCAGGCATGAGACCCTCCTGCGGGGTTTTGCGCCTACTTCTTGCAGAAGTCCTTGAAGCAGAGCCGCAGTTTGTTGTGATGCCGGAAGAGCTTGGGGTCTTCCGGGATCTCTGCTAAAAACACTTGGGCCACCTCCAGGGGACCCTGTGGGGTGAGAGGGACTGGTGAGCCAGCCTGCATGGCACCTGGAGTCCCCCGTGCGGCCTGCATCCCCCTTCCACCAGCCGTGCCTGATTCACGGTGGGCCCCACAGAGCCCTGAAGCACCATCTGTAGCATCTTAGCATCTGGTGGGTCCTGCTCGGTGGCGAAGGCCAGCTCCCGTGTTTTCTTCTGCATGTCCTCGATAGCCACCTCCACTGGCGTCAGCACCGTCTATGGGGTGAGGGGAGGGGTGTGCACTCGCTGGGGCCTGAGGAGGTCCTGATCGAAGCCAGTCGGGGGCAGCTCAGACCCCGCTGGGAGCAAGAGGGGTCCAAGAACCCAGGCAATGACCAGAATCTGGGGTCCTTCCTGGGTCTGACTCTGGGGGGGGTCCAGCCTTGGGTCTGCTGAGTCTGGTGCCCTGGGGTTTAGTGGCTTCACATCTGGGGTCTCCAGACTTCCTTGGGTCTGGAGGTAGAGGTTTGAGACTGGAAGTTGGAGTTTGGGGTCCCCAACCTGGTTCTGGGGTACATGAGCCAATTTCTGGGTCTAGCATGTCCACACGTCTCCTCTCTGGGTCTGGGATCCCTGGGCGTCTCCTCCCTGGGCCTTCTTAGATTTGGAGTCCCTGTGCCTCCCCTTTGTGAGTCTAGAATCCCTGGGTCCTCCTGGGTCTGGAGGTACAGGTTTCAGTTTAGAGATTGGAATTCGGGTCTCCATATATTCTCAGCTCAGTTCTGGGGTACCTGGGTCTCTTCCTGGGCCACACCTCTCTTCCCTGGGCCTTCCTAGATCTGGGCTCCCTCTGCCTCCTCTTTCTGGGTCTGGAATCTCTGGGCCACGCTGGGTCTGGGGTCCCTGTATCTTGCCTCCCAGGTCTCCCTGGGTCTGGTCTCCTCCCCTCTCCTCCCTGGGGATCTGGTCTAGGGTCCCTGTGCCACCCCTCTCTGTGTCTGAGATCCATGGGCCACCTTGGGTCTGGGTCCCTGTGTCTTCCCTCCCCTCCCGTCCCTTCCCCTCCCCTCCCCTCCCAGGGTCTGTTGTCCCCTCACCTCCCCACCCCTCCAGGCCCAGGGTCCCCACGCACCTCCTCCCTGTGGCACACACGGATGCGAGTCTTGATGTAGGGGAAGGCGTGGTCGGTGCTGAGCAGCGTCTTACGCTTGTGTTGCTCGGGCAGCTCCCCGTGTGCGCGCCCATCTGGCGTGAAGGGCGTGCAGAACAGGAATGTGCGAAGCCCATAGTTGCGGTCAAAGTAGGTCACCCGGTCCTTGAGCTCGTAGGTATCAAAGTACGGTTCCACATACGTGATCTGGATGTAGGCCTGGGCGCAGGGTCAGGTGTGAGGAGGGTCCCACAGCCCCGGTACGCACAGCCCAGGCCCTGTGCCTGGAGAGAGGGGATCTGGGCATCCCTGGATCTGGGGACTTTGTCACTTCCAGGTCTTCCTATGTCCGGATGTTTGGGAATCCCCTGAGGAACAGGTTTTGGGGTCCCCCAGTGAAATGTGATTTGGGGTTTCCCAGAGAAAGAGGATTTGAGGGTCCCCAGGAAACAGGACTTGGAGTCTCTGTGGATCTAGGATTTTGGGGAAATGGTCGGGGGACCCACCTTCTGTGCGTCAAGCTTGGACTTGTCCACAGGGTTAGAGTCTTTGATAATCTCAACCACGTCGTCGCCAAATCTCTCCGTGTAGAACTCCTGGAGACACAGGGCTGACTCGGGGCCACCCAGGGACAGCCCCTACTCCAGCCCCAAGGCAGTCCCATGCCCCGTTCCACCCCCCACCACAAGGACATGCCTCCAGCCGGTGTGAGATCTCTGCCAGCTTCGTGATCGATGGCTCCTTGTACACAAACTCCTGCTCATCCAGGTCGCCAAAGCGGGCGCCGTAGAAGCCCACGCGGAAATACGTCCCGAACACGCGCTGGAGCTGTGAGAAAGGGTGTGGTTGTCCGGGAGGCCCCTGCTGGAGGTCTGCCTGCCCCAGAGATAGGGGTCTCGAATATCAGGATGGGAGTGTGAGGACCACGAGAACGTCCGGGCATGGGCACAGGCAGGGGGTCCTGAGAACATCGGGGCATGGACTGCAATATGAAGTTAGGACTGAGGCTGTATTGTTCACAGGTGTGTCCCTAATGCCCATGGGACAGGGTATACAGCAGGTACCCAATAAATGCTTGGATGGCTGAGGAGAAGGATGGCTGCCTCTCACTCTAGGACAGAGGCTCTGACTCCTTTGTTCTAGGGCATTCTCCTTCCCGTGCCCCGATGCCCACAAGAATGGGTATACAGTAGGTGCCCAATAAGTGCTTGGATGGCTGAGGGAAGGGATGGCTGTCTCTCACTCTAGGACAGAGGCTCTGGTTCCCTTGTTCCATGGCATTCCCCTGCTCCTGTCCCCGGCCCTAAGTTTGGAAGAAGGAACCGCCTCCCTACCACCCCAAAACCACCACCCCATGACTGGAAAGGAAGTGGAATGGCTGGATGTTCACTTACCAAGGCCGATCCGGGGAGGGTGGGGCAGACATGGTGGGGTCAGAGGTGTGGGGGACAGAGAGACAATGTCATGGGAGAGGTCAGAGGTCAGAGTTCCCTCAACCCCCAGGGTCCTGGTTAACACTGCCCCGTAAGAATCATTCCGTGGGGAGAGAGATCAGAGATGGGAGATGGGTGGGGGCGAAGAGGACCTGCCCTCCCCACCCAGCTCCCACCCGGCCTGCCTGCCTGGGCTCTGGGTTTCTGCCATCTTTGGCCAGAACATTCTCCCCAAACTAGGAGATGCCTAAAAATAGACCTAAGCAGAGCAGAAGCGGGATTGGGGGGGGGAGTGCTGTTGGAGCGGGGGGACACATTAACCAGAAATGAGGAGCAGAGGAGAGCCTGGGGGAGGCTGGAAGCTGGAGACGCAGGGAGAGACAGAGACTAAGAGACAGAGAGATACCAAGATAGGGAGAGCCACGTGATAGATGGGGAGAGATGAAAAAGAGACCATGAGGGAGTCAGAGCCACCCTGCCACCCCCCTGCAGTGACCAAGCTGGCCCTGGCAGAGGGAGGGGTGTCTCTGGAGAGCTCCCAGCTGGGTGAGTCACAAGCTGCCCTCGAGATCTGGGGCGGGGGGGTGGTGCATTTTTAGGGAAGGGAGGGAAGTGATGGGGTGGGTGCCTTGTGGCCACAGCCCCAGCCCCAATGGCCAGCGGCCATGCTCCTCCGGCGCCCCCTGGTGTTCACTGATGGCTGCTGGCCAGTCATCACGGGGGTCCCAGAGGCAGGTGGCTGTCCACTGAGGCTGACTCACCTCCCAGCCGGAACTCTGTCGGGAGAGAAGGGTCAAGGTCAGCAGATTCCTGGGGATGAGGAGTGGGGCTGAGGGTGGGGTCTGGGGAGGGGTCCTGGGCCCACCTGGTGCATGATCTTGGTGAAGGCCTCCTGCAGTTTGCCGTGCACCGCGGCCAACTTCTTGTAGTCACGGTGGGCTTCCAGGATGGGGATGAGGTTCTTGTAGACCTCATTCACCGCCTCGTAGAGTCCACCCTGAGAGTGAGGTGGGGTCAGGATTCCCCAAACTGTCTTCCCCTCTTCACTGTGCTCCTGTCTACCCATCTCCCTTGTGATCCTCTGTGCTCCATCCCACCCACCCTCCATCACCTCCTCCAGGAAGCCCGCCCTGACCACCCCCATCCCAGATAGGGACTGAGCCTTTCTACTCAGCTCCCACAGAGGGCTCCATGGTCTTCACCGCTACTTATCTGTTTTGTTTTTTTGAGATAGGGTCTCACTCTATCGCCCAGGCTGGAGTGTAGTGGTACAATCACAGCTCACTGGAGCCTCCAACTTCTGGGCTCAAGAGATCCTCCCACCCTAGCCTCCCACGTAGCTAGAACTACAGGCATATGCCACCATGCCCAGCTAATTTTGTTTTAGTTTTTGTAGAGTCAGGGTCTCACTATATTGCCCCGGTTGGTCTTGAACTCATGGGCTCAAGTGATCCTCCTGCCTTGGCCTCTCGATTAGCTGGGATTACAGGTGTGAGCCACCACTCCCCCAGCCCTTCACCACTTTTAACAAGAATATTATATGGCACAGGTACCATGTACATCTGCACTTCACCCATCTGTGTTCCCTCATTGATGGGAGAAGCAGTTTTTTTTTCCCCTATTCCTCAAAGAGGAAAGTGAGTTTCAGAGATATGGAGGTAATCCCCAGGGCCAAGACCCGAACACAAGCCCATCTGGCCCTGTGCCCGTGACCTCCATGCCCAACTGCCTCCTGGCGTGTGGTAATATGCCCCTCACCCCCAGCGGGTGCTGGCATCGAGCCTGGCTCAAAACAGGCACCCTGTGAGGTTTGCTGACTGTCAGAAGGCCTGTGTCCACCCCCTGGTTTCTTCCCCTGAGGCCTTTGTGTGTGTGTGTGTGTTTTAAATCTTTTTTTATTATTATTATTTTAATCTTTTTTTTTTTTTTTTTT